CTACAAAGGACTAATTGCTACTCAACAAAGTACATATCTTTAACTAATGCACTCTAATTGTCTTTGAAAAAGGGGTTTATTATTTGCAAAGTTGATATACTGTATACTGTAAATACACGTTTTGAAAAATATACGTTTAGTTGTTTTTGTTTTGAAGTGGAATGGCAGAGTATTAAACTTGTATAACACTAGATATGAATACTAATACTGTATGCAGTATAATCCTTACAAAGCCATCAAATTTGGATTTTGCAAAGTTGCATGATAGTATTAATAATGCAACTTAAAATAAACTCATAAAAAAACACTCCTCTATTGAAAATTTCAATCTCGTTTTCAGTTTTTGTGGAAAATGCATCAGACATGAAATATTCACTCCCATAATGTTTCAACACCATTTCGAACACCAGCGTGCCATGTTCAGATCTACTCACATTCCTAATTAATTTGTTTGCAGTAAACTACAAAGTGCATAGATGAGTTTAAGACTAATCCTTCCTTAAATATCCAATCATAACTCATAGTTTTAAGTTGATCACAATATCAGCAATGTCCTCTACTTTCCTCTAAAAATGTAATATTTTCATTAATAATCAGAGATAGTTTGTGGACAATTGCAAAAATACTGGTAACAATCCCAGATGATTCAATCAATGAACTATTTCTTTTTAATTGGTTGGTTTGCTAACTTTTTGAAGTGATTTCTTGCCATTTGGTAATTTCACGGTTTTATTATTCTTTGTGTGTTTGGCCTACAGAAACCAAGATCTCCAAGAAGTAACATTGGAAAAGGAGGGGAAAGTGTTGCTCAGATTTGCTATTGCGAATGGTTTCCGCAACATTCAGAATCTTGTACAAAAGCTTAAGAGGGGAAAATGTCCTTATGATTATGTAGAGGTCATGGCTTGTCCTTCAGGTATGTGTGTTTCATCTTAAAAAAAATTTAAAAACCAAGATACAATTGCATAGGCCTACTTATGTTTAGAATTAAGATAACTATTTGTCAAGGTTGTTCCATCTTTTAGAAAATTTCCCATATAAGAAAATTTCCATTGTAGGGAATATAACAAAGGTCTCATCGCCTCATGGTAAGACTTGGACCCAGGACTGATTTACTTTTTTGTTTTTATGTTGTTAAATGTAAAACCATCGTTTCTTATTCATATGTGTGTGTACATGTCCATTAGCATGATAACTCTAGTAAAAATTATAGGATCTTAATAAAATTTGGTAAGGGTTAGGGAACCAGCTTTAACAGACTATGGGAATGTGGTTTTATAGGGTAAAGAATGGTTGTTCTAATTTTTGACCCTCAAGACATAGAATCTCTCAGATTCTCTATAAACCTTATAGAGAACAACAATAACAAACAAATAATTTAGTATTATGAAGTGTTTTTATGCAGTTAATATGGAGAAAATAAAAAAATTATGGAAAAATAATTAAATTGCTGTATTTGATCAAACTTGACAAATTGATTTATTTTATACAAAGCTAGTAACATGTAACTAAAAAATACACTTTATTACCCTACCTGTAGAAGAGAACCTAAGTACTAGTTTAACTAATCCTATTTAAACAGGGAATAAATCTAACTTGTTTAAGAATATTACTTTCTAATTTATAATATAACAAATTTATAAAAAAATGTATGCACCTTCTAGTAGCCAATAATTCAATGAAATTGAAATTATTGAATACTCCTCTAGTTGCTTTACTAATGATAGACTTTGGCGTGCAAAGTCTGTTTATTCAAATCTTCTTGGTTTGATATAGCAACTACTGATTGTAACATCGAAAAACTTGGCTTCTAAGTTGAAATAATTGTAACATTGTGTAAAATTTAATGCACACATAATATGTAGGCCAAATGCAAACAAATTTCTGCAAAAATTAAGTTCCACTTAATATTTGCATTTGTCCTGTGCTTAATCAACAATATGTTGATTTACAACTATGCTACTATGTGATATAGAAACACAGCTTATTTGATATGTAATTGAACCTTTAATTTAAGATTACGATTTTGATCATATCCTTTATTTATGTTTATTTATGTGAACATCCTGTGATTGTCCTAACAGGATGTTTGAATGGAGGTGCGCAGGTGCGTCCCAAAGACGGAGTGTCCCCAAGAGAGTGGACTGGTCAGTTGGAGAGCTTGTACAGATTATTACCACTACACAGGTCCCAGGACAACTCCACAGTTGAAGTCCTCTACAAGACATGGCTGCAAGGACGACATTCAGACAAGACTAAAGCAATGCTACACACCACTTACCATGCGCTTGAGAAAAACTCAAATGCGCTCAACATCAAGTGGTGAAAGAGTTTAAATGAATTTGTACAGTGTAAAAACTAAAAAAATATAATTTTATTGTAAAGTGAGTATACTTAATTCCTTGAGACCGGTATTTTTTTCTTTAATTTTTCAATATCAATATCAATTATTTAAGATGGGGACGCCACTATGTGCGTATTTTAACCCAAATATGAGTGATGGATGAGTGGCGCGATCTTGTAGTCTTGTTAGTGACTTAGGCCGACATGTTCCTTAGACACAGCTGTTAATTAATAGCCCATACAGCTAATGGCAACCAAGGGACCTACAGTTAATAGTGGAATCCGAACCACATTTTTCCTTGTAATTTACGAATTGGTCTAATTATCAGGATAGTACTGCGGATAGTCGTAGTACTCACTAGTGCGGACGTTAATCCACACCAGGGAGCATCGCATCCACAGTGCATCCCTATAAATATCCACAATTCGTGACCTCCTAGTAGCTGGATTACAGGACGACGCCACCCGTCCCAGTTGTTTGCTCATGGGAAACCATGAATTAATTTAAGTCTGTTGTTGCAGTTGTAAAACCTCTTAATGGTCTTAAAGCAGGCTACAGGTTAAGGGTGATCTACTGATATTCATGATGATTTGAACAGCTGTCATTTTTTACTCCATTGTCCGTTTTAGTTTGGGTTTGTGGCATTGTATTTTACTAACGGAGACCTTTAATTTGATACCAAACTCGACGTATGCTGCTATTTGTCTGACTCCTTGTGGACCGTCCCCCAAAGGAGTTATCCGGTCAGTAATTGGGCAGATGTGTGAGTTACATTAGTATAGAGAAGGACACAGATTTCTTTTTAGCAAATTTCCCTGTGTAGGGAAGTAGTAGCTATTACCGTAGGTGGCACGGTAACACCTAGGCCCGGGACCGATTTATAGTACTTGTTCATTTTGATGTCCCTAGAGGCCAAAAACACCATTCGTTCGAATTCTTACATTTTAAATTGAGTTATATATGTTCCTGAACACGATAACTTGAGTAATTTTTGTCCGATTTTGATGGAATTTGGTTTAAAGGTGTAAAGCGGGATAAACTTGAATGAGTTTGCTAACCAGCATGATCGGACCATGGGAACGAGGGTTTTATGGGGTAAAAATGGGGTTTGATTATTTTTTTCCCTCAAAACACCAAATTTCCCAATTTCTCTCCAGACCTTTTTAAGGAGCTTAAAAAAACAAAACATTTAGTATATCAAATCAAATGGTTTTTTTGTACGGTTATTGGTTTATTGGTAAATTGGAGAAAATTCATAAAATTGTTCAATTTAAAATTCCAATATCATTCTTATGGAGAATATTGTAAAATGTTGTAGTTTGCTTGTTTATGGATATATTTTGATCAAACTTGGCAAATTTATTATCTTATAACTTATAGTTATTTTACTAAAAAACACACTAAAATTTCCCCGTAGCAGCAAACTTAGGTAAACCAAACCTAGGGAGCAAACTCGTTAAACCTAAATGTTAATTATATAGATTTAATTGAAATCAATTAATGCAAATGGGAAGAATTCGCTTAGTTGGCAGGTTTGCTGCGGCAGGGGTATATTAGTATTTACTTTTATTTTGGTTAAATATGAACATATTGTGTTGAAGTAAATATGTTGTAAAATAAAAGCCATAAAAGGACAACCTTAAAAACAATTAACAGAGAAATAAAAAATAGGCTTATGCCTTTGAGTGCTAAGATGTGTAATAAATTGATTTTTCCTACAGTCGCCCGACAAAGTTGGCTTCCCTGTACTGTTTATAGTACAGAAAGCTGCTAATTGCTGCATATTTATACTTTGCCGTACAATTTATACTTTGCCGTACGGTTTATACTTTGCCGCACATCAGGATTCCAACCAAACAACACAAAACAGCGTGGTTTTATTATGCACGTAATCCGTGTACGCTTGGAAATAGGTTGGCAACACTTAAAGATAATAATTCTATGAGCAGCTGATTGACTAATTATAACTACGATTTAACCTGTCATTTCGTGTTTATAGTTTCGGTATTCCTGAACTTTCTGGACTTTTCTTTTAAACGTTTTTAAAATATTCCTACGATCTAAATAAACAAAAAAAAATACCTTTTAAGCATTTTTTAAGGCGCGGAAACCACTTCAAATTACTAAAACATACGGAACTATATTCTCAAAACGCGTAGCAAATTTCTTGCCGAGGAAAAATAGTGGAGTGATACGGACCGCGGGTACTACTTTCTCTAGGGCACCATTTTTGTTGCCAGCTGAACCTAAAAAAGCTTTGTATAGTGTTTGAAAGACTAATTATTTATATGCTTTATAGTGACTGTAGGAAAAATATAATGTGTAACACGAGTGAAAAAGGCCTTTGCTGCACTCAAGATCATTCATTGTAAACATTGCTCTCGTGTGCAGCAAAGTGCCACTTTCACCACTAGTTACACAAATAACTATTACCTGCACAGTTGTTTTCTTTGTGACTGATTAAAGGTTACTCTTATTTTCTAAAAACATTCAGCACCTTGCCTGAAAGTTGGTTTTTGTTCTTATCTCAGTTTTAGCCTCAGCTCCACATCACTATTGTGAGAACATGTTCAGTTTATAATTGTAAATTTATTTTAGTTTGAAATGTTAACTAAATCAACTGAGAAGCAGAGAGTAGGATATAAAATACATCAAATTAACTCACAAACTTTTATTCCTACTTCAGTTGTACAAACAGGTAAAATTAAATACTGGTACATAATAGCTACAAGTGAGCAACTGAAGTGTATAACATAATATTATGATATGCTTTGTACACAATTATTGACTATTTACACTCCTTTGATATCCAACCCACATTTCAAAATGCCACAAATAGTAAAAAAAATACATACTGGTATGAAATATTTAAAATAAAAAGACATGGGAAATAAGCGAGTAGAATAATAAACAAAATAAATAACATAAGAGGACCAGAGAATGCAGTAATTCAAATGGTGTAAACTGCAGCACTATTAGAAATAAATTAAAAAAAACCAAAAACATGGTTTTTGAAGAGAAAAGTACTGTATTGACCACTCAATGGATTTTACAAGACATGAAATTATCTTAAACCTATTCAAAATACAGACTAACAAGGCTCATAAATATCAATATTATGTACAATTTGTGGCAAATTGTGATTTCTATATACATAGCATGTTATCCTAACAATCACAGCAATAGTGGCTTTGATAAAGCGTCTCTATAATTCCAACTCTCCTGATATTTACCCACAAGACCTTGTGGTGTAAACGTTACACTCTCCAGTCTCCATGCTAAACTGCCTAAGCTCAACTCTGAACCAAGTATTTCCATTACTCATTGTCTACGAAATACGGTATCAATATGTGACACTCACTATTTCAGATTAGGCCTACTCCATAAAAGCAAATCATACATTAAATATATTGAGTGCAAACTATATCCTTTAAAAAAATCTCTTAAAGAATCTAAACTATTACAACTTAATTTTAATACATATTAGACGTAATAAAAATCATCCAAACACCCTACACACATTTTGAATTATTAAATATTATAAAGATTAGGTATATAACATTTTCCACAGTAAATTGGTACAGTGAGCGATGTGTATTGCCAATATAGGGGAAGGCAGCACTATGCAAGAAGAAGCCAACACACAAACAGGATTGCGACCCACAAAAACACCTTGGACATGAACTGTTCATCTTCAAATGGAGTCAGTCCTCTCTGACCTGCAACATGGCCTAAACATGTTTTACTTAACATTTTTAATATTATTTATTTACTTAAAATTAAGTAGATCAAATTAATGAAAAGAACATTTAGTTTCTATTAAATTAAGACTATTCTGTTAAGTTAACGTTATAAATATTAAGCCATACTATTAAAAAAAAAGTACAATTTGGTTTTGTTCAATCTACAACACTCTAAACAAGCGAAAATCAAATATTACTTGATTAAAAATAAATCGACTTTGCCAGTGCAACTGGAAAAGAGGTGGTATATTGTCAACAATTAAAAATCACAATGATTTATTACTTAAACTTATCATACTGAACACATCGATAAATCATTCCAAATAAAATTTTAACTAGTTTAAATAACAAAATCTTCCTAACCTAACCTAACCACCCTTAGGTTAGGTTAAGTGTGAACAGTATAACACGTAAGTACGAATGATTTTGACTGGTAAAAAAATAAATGGCACAAGTTCCATTAAAGGACCACAGAAAGTATGATACCAAGTAGCCTAATGCAATCAAATAGTTTACTTTTAAAAGGACCTGTTAGAATAAACACTCAATAAAGCAACAGAAAGTATGCTTTGTGTACAGGTTCGCTATGGCTGGGGTTTTTAAGATATTTTCCTGTTATACAAAATAAAATAATGATTCTTCGCTTTACATGTAGTTCCTTAAACAATACATCACGGCCACCTTTAACTCCAGGCCGCGGACTAGTAGAATTGGCAACGTCGCAAGTAGTGTTGTTTAGCGCCAGACTTCCCATAAGATAACATGGCAGACATGTGATACCAGCTCATTAGCTCGCATTATAATCATTCAAATTTAAATTTATGATCATAAATTTATTAAAAGTTTAAACTAAAACAAATAGAATTGAAGACCAAAACAAACAATATAAATTGAAAATCTATTTCTGAACATTTAAAATGGAGTCAATATGTTCATAGCCCAGTAACCAAAAAATACCATTAGCTGCAGGGCCGATTTACCGAATAGGCAAGGTAGGCACGTGCCTAGGGCGCGAGGCGATTGGCTTTTTTGAGGGGCGCCAACAAATTGGAAAAGTATGGGGCTGTATTTGTATGTGATTGCGGTAAACTGACAATCCCTTGCGGCCGTGTAGACATCTTAACAGTCTCCCGCAATTGCGGCAAGATGGTAATTATTTCCTGATGTTGAGTATACATCATCATCGTCCGTCTCCCGCAATCGCGGCAATATTCTGACTATTTTCGGTGGACGCGTAGACATAATTATCATCTTCCTTGATCGTGGCAATATATGAACACATCCCGCGGTCGTGATGAGATGATCACTGTCTACCACGAATGAGGCAAAATTGTAATCTTTTCCCGGGGTCACGGCATTATCATCTCCTTGCGTGATCACGATATAGTTCTGATAATCCCTCACAGCCGTGAAGACATCATCGCTTCCCGCGGTCGTGAGGCATTGTCATCCTCTCCCGCCATTGTGGCAAATGGTAATCATCTCCCGCGGTCGTTTAGAGATCATCATCGTCTTTTGCGAATGTGGCAAAATTCTGATCTTTCCCGTGGTTGAGTAGACATTATCATCGTCTTACGCGACATTGCGGTGAAATTCTGATCATCCCTCGCAGCCCTGTGCAGAGTAGACTAGACATCATTATTGTAACTCCCGTGGTCCTGTAGACATCATAATAGTCTCCAATGGTTGTGAAGACATCCTAATCATCTCCTGTGATTAGGTCAAAATGCTAATAATATCCCGCAGTCATGTGGAGATCATTATTGTCTTCCGTGATCGTGGAAAATTTCTGACTGTTTCCCGCCATTGTGTGGACATTATCTTCGTCTTCTGTGATCGCGGCAATGTTCTGATCATCCATCGCAGCTCTGTAGATCTTATTGTAGTATTGAGCGATCGCGGTAAAATCATGATCATATCCTGCGGTCGTTTAGACAATATCATCGTCTCATGCGATCGCGGAAAAGTTCTGATCATCCCTCAAGGCCTTGTGGAGACATATTATCGTCTCCCGTGGGCACAGAAACGTCACTTTTGTCATGCACCATGGCGGTAAATTGACGATTCCAGGTAGAAATACAAAATTCACATATAATTCCCGGTTCAAAAACATTCACGCTTAATTACCAGATTTCCCGGTTGGTGGTCACCCTGTTATATATTGCAAAGGGGCGCTACTATGTTAGTTGTGCCTAGGGCGCTGACATAGTCAAAAACAGGCCTGATTAGCTGCCTCCAAACAAAACAGCTGTAACAACACTACTTGTGACGTCGCCACTTCAAAGGCCACGGATTGGAGTTAAAGCTGGCTGTGCAATAAATACCAATTAAAATTGCTTTATTAAACAGCTGTATACAAAATTCAATTTAAATGAGAAAATTTACAGACTTCACATACCAAAAGTTCTGTCCCCAACTTGGAATGATGAAGTGAAGAACCCAAATGGAAATGCTCCAATCCCAAAAGACATATGGAAACCTCCCTCTCCAAATCCAAATCCTGGGAAGCCCTAAAAATAAAATAAAGCCAAATAAAAAGAAACATAGGATGAAACTGAATGAAATTCTATTATAAGTTAAACAGCAATGGAAGAATTTGACAATAAAACTGGTCAGATAAAAAATGTTAACCTTATTTCCAATAGGACTATACCAATAGTCATTTAAGATCCAAATTGAAGATGGGTTATAGTAATACCAGAAACAAAAGAACCCTGGGCCGTTTCGAGCCGCGCAGGTTTGAATGGTACGCCACACCTACCTGCGCGAACCACGTGATCTTTTCGTTTCTGCGCAGGTTGTTTTGTTCTTGGTATATCTATAGACATTATGCATTTACTAGAAATTTGTCTACCAACAAATATATTTGCTTTTAAATAAAATTATTGGTTAACATCCACTCTTAAAACAAAATTTAACATTGAATTTATAGCAAAAACAGATTTCTGTAATGCCATATTTTCTCAGTAACAATATTAAATATTCTCATGCTTAAATACATAATACTCACCCCATTATTTTCTGGTTCAGATCTCTGGCCTGGAGGCCTAGGTGGTGTCTTGTTCCTGAAAATTAAATAAACGGCTGATAAAGAATTGTGTGCTGTAACAGCAATGTCTGATGAGTTAAGGGTGAATGTCAAATTGAGATGGAATTTCAAAATAAAAAGATAAAAAAATAAAAATGTGTTTTTTACTTTACCTTTTATGTATTAAGACCTAGATATAATTAACTTCAACTTCCAAGTAGCGGTCGAGCTTAAAAAATTTTTTTTTAATATTTATAAACTTTTTAAGTCTTGGAGTACAGGTTTTAACAACCAGATCACTGACTAAGAAAAAAAATAAAATCCTTATAATTATTGGGAGAATAATAAAAATAAATGCTTAAACAAACAACTGATTAGGCATCAATTAACATAATTATAATATTTGATATTAATATTTTTATTTTTATTAACTAACTAACATTTTTGTTTAAATATTTTGTAAGTAAGAAAAATTGAACTTATTTTTTCAGTTTACATGACTATTTTGCAACAGGAAAATAACAAATTCAAATTAATGTTAAAGTAAACTATTTATAAAATATAGTGAAACAGCATTTATATTTTTTTTTTCGAATTGTATCGAGTTAAGAACGAATGTATGAGCGTGAGCGACGGGAAATAACGTTGGCGACGGGACATGACGTCGGCGACGGGACATGACGGCGTCGGCGACGGGATGCGGCCGTGAGCGACGAGACGCGGAAGTAATGAGAAACGGCAGCGATTGAAGTGTCTGAGATATATCTCAGTTTACAAAAAGGGTCCAACTTAAACAAATTTGGTAACCTAAAATTATTTAGCAAAACAACAAAAAAATAAGGTGAAAATCTTACCTTTTGGCAAGTGGAAGTTCTTGAAGTTTTCTATTAGGCCTATCTAGTAAATTTTGTCGTATCTTGTAAACAACTCATTTAATATTATCGTAACTAAACACAAAAAAAGATTTCAAATTTTTTACAACACATAAAAAAAACACTATTTACATATTTACACAGTCTTCATTGATTTTTTTTCGTTTATCTTAGATGAATTGGCCCCTCAAATTTGTAATAGAGCCTGTTGCCTGGCATGATTAGGGGCGTTGGTAAGATTCCTCTTATTTGGTCTACTGAAATGTACGATTGGTCGGCCTCATTAGGAAAGAATATCGAATTGTCTTTGATATTATTTCTTTTCATGAACATTACCTCGACTTCTCTTTCATCTAGACTGTCAACGTTTTGAAGTATGCCGACGTAGTCCTTTGGCGTTTGTAATTTAGGCCCAGTTAAAAATGTCACTACAACAAATAGTCCTCGCACCAATTCTTCAAAAGAAAATTCTTCTTTTATCTCGACAACATTAGGCAGAACGTCTTCTTCGTCTTCAGAACTGTATACGTCAGAGATTTTTAAAATAGGTTTTCTCTTTGTCTCTTGTTTCTTCAATGTCTTTGTCCTTTTCACATTCGTGGTACTTTTCGTTGCATTTTGCTTTCCATCCGGTCCGATCGAAAACAAATTATGGTGTATACATTCTTCTTCGAGTTTACATTGAAAACATGAGAGTTTTCTGAATTGCAAGGTTTTAGTCTTTTTAGACCACGTTATTTGTTTCACATTCATGATTCCTGCAACTGGTTCAAGGCTTTCCGGAATTAGGGATTTAATTTTTGCAAACTCCTCGGGTTTGACTTCAATGACATTTGTCTTGCTTTTTGAGAACTGGTTAACAAAATCTGTTGCACATGTTACTTCTTGTTGGTGTAAAATGTTTAAATCGGAATTCCTCTTCAAAGAGCCCCCCACCCCGTCCATTACTCCTTTTCCGTGGCCGGACTCCGTAAAATTCCATGAAAATTGCTCCAAGTTTTTAAAGTATTTGGGCATCAAATTTTTCATTAAAAACACGTTTACTTTGTTCCGATACTGAGATGAGGGGCTGTCGGTAAAGAAGTGAACTGTTTTTGTGTTGGAAAATTTTTGATCGGTATCAGTTAAAATTGGTTTTAAATGGCTCCAAACCCCATGAGCTTGGTGGTCTAATTGGTCAGAAACTGTACAAAATGTTGTACAGCTGACTTGATTATTTAGTTTAACATACTTAGCCCCGGTATGGAGTGAAATCTGCTTTTGCGATGCCCCAAAATGCAAACTCTGCACTTCGGTCGAGTGCTTTGCAACGTAATTTTGTGAAAAGTCGACTTGAAACAAAATCTCATTGTCCTTAGGGTTTTCCTTTAAATTTTTTAACTGTTTTGCCTGGTAGTACATCTGAAAAACGTGCTTTTTAAACTGGGGTACCATGTTAGCAAGCAACTCAACAACCTCAATTGAGGATTTGGTTTCTGTTGATTTAATCGTCCTTCCAATAGATTTGTTTTCCCCCTTTATAATTTTGTTTTCTTTAATTAGCTTCCACTTATGGAACTTAATTTGAGCTTCACCATCTGTTCTTTTGTATTCAATATTTTTATTTTTACAAACCAAACACAACCCCAACATGCAGTTCTCGTTTTTAACGGAGCAAACTAGGTTGTTTAGTAGGTCATCAACATCTTTATACTTGGAAACAACCTTGGCGTTTTTTAGTGCAGAAAATACAAATTGGAAATTTTCGTGTTTTATGCACGCGCAGGTTTCTCTGTCCTTTTCTTTTGGCCTATACACCCACCAAGGTCTAGATCGGTAGAAGATTGATCTTGAAATATTAGTGATACCAGTCTCCTGCACAAACTTATCATACAGATTGTACAGTGAGTTCAAGAGAACACGTTTCTGTTTTTTAATTTTTCCTCTTTGTACATAGTCTTTCTTACCCGGCATCATTTTCGATACCATATCATCTTCATAAAACTTTCTAATGGCAAGTGCTTCTTTGACTTTAATCGTGTCGTATTTCTTTCTGTCATAGTGCAGTGAAGGTGTCTTTGTGGCCAAAACTTTGTTGTATGAATAGGGAACAATAGTTTGAAATTGCTTTTGAACTCTGTATTTTTTTAAAAATTCATTTCCTACGGTTTTTGTCATAATCTGACGGAGTTTGGATTTTGCACTGACAGACTGCATTTGATTTTGTATTTGCTTTTGTAGCACAATGCCCGAAAATAGCTGTCTTCTTATATTTGGTGAGACTTTTTCCGTTCCAACTATTTGTTTTAGTTTCTTCCTTGGCGATGGAGAACCCCCAGTATGTTTTAGTTTTTCTCTTTGGAGTCTTTTTTTATATTTCTCCAATTGTCGTTGTAGTTTTTTATTTTCTTCTTTGGTATCTTTAAGCTCTCTAATAATTTTAAGTCTATTTTTTTTGGCTATTTTTTTCCCAACTTCGTTCTGTCTTGACTTAGTTCTTGGGGTGTCTATGACTTCATCATCACTTGCAGGTGGAGTAGCTGCTAAGACTTCTTGGCTTTCCTTCTGTCTTTTCCGTTGCTGGCGTTTCCTCTGTCTCCACACTTTTCTAGCAGCTTTCTTTTCTTTTTCAGTCATTTCTTTCACATGCATTCTTCTCTTCTGTGCGCTAATTCTATCCTGCTCTCTTTTCTTTTGTAGCTGTTCTTCAGTTTTCTTAGCTTTATACCGCCTAGCCCTTTCATTTGCAAGCATTCGTGCACGTTCATATTTTCTCGCCTTTTCCCTATCACTAGTTTTTGATTTAGATTTTTCTTTTGGCATTTTTGTTACTTTAACACTTCATTTGACCCTAAAAAAAGAAAAAAATATGAAATATCAAATCAGAAAGACTATTTAAAAAAGGTTAAAACTTGAAAAACAATTAAAAAACCTTATTGACGATAACAGAAAATAAATTGTCTTACAGCTTAAAAAGTAAATTCCTTAACATTTTGGACACTAATAAAAATAAAGTTGTTTGGTGATAATAATTGTTACCAAAACGTAGGATTATTAGGCGGTAAAAATCAATTTTTATGCTTGATAAAATAAACCAATATGTCCAACGTAATTCATTCACATTTTTTATAAAAAAATATTAAAGAAAAACATTTTTTCAAATTTATAAATTGAACTACAACACAGGATTTATCTAGTTGGTTTGACAAAATTACTTGAATATCATCATTAAAGTCATTTCAGGTCTCGTTGCCGACGTTTATGTCTCGTCGCTGACGTTTTATGTCTCGTCGCCCACGTTTTTCTATTCGCCGACGTGAGCGACGAGACGCGTGAGCGACGAGACATTTCGTACTCTATGGCCCATTACAGCCGATCGATAAGTTGAAATGAACTGAAACATTTGGAGGTTATGTTTGCCTTGGATCTTTTCGAGAGTGCATGCAAACTTTTCAGTTGATTTAACAAATATTACCAATTCTAACCGTGAGCGATTGGACATACTATGCTTTACATACCTTTAATATCAGATATCTTGATAAATTTACAACGTAACTTTCAAATATTTAACTAAAAAACACTGAAAACAGTAAACAACAACTCTTTGCGGATCTAATACTATCCTTTACTCCAACAAAAGACCACGGCTGCCAACAGTGACAGGGAAGTCAAAATTTCCCGCGATTTACCACTTTGTCTTGGGGACAGATGAAAACACATTTTTTTCACTTTTTGTAAATAAAATTTAATTTATTCGATTGTTATCACGATTATCTTTGTTAGTGTACGAAATTATTAATACCAATATTTACTTGTTTATATTTTTTATTCAACAATTATAACTAACTGTACTTTCATAATAGGTTATGAGGACAGTGAGCGACGGGACAAATGACACACATTTGGTAATTTTTCTAATACTTTTATTTGGTTTTTCAAATACATTTTTATTGATATGTACAAATATAATATTAAGCTTGAACTTAATCTAATCACAAAAATAAAATTATTACTAATTTCCTGGTTTTTACACCGGGACTTAAATTATATCTCAATTTGACATTCACCCTTAAATGCATGTTAAACTGAGTGGTAATGGTAATGAGACCAGTAATTGAACCTAGAAGCAGAGCCTCTTCGAGGACTCATTTTATGTGTCTGAAATTTGATAAAACAACTGAATTGTAGGGATTAATATTTTGTTTGTGAAATCAATTATCTATTATGAGTTGTTTCATCATCAAAATGACATTTGTTTCAATGTCATTCGAAATTGACTTCAGACCTTTCTTAGAAGAAGGTACAGTTGTTTACACAGAAACCCATTTTTATTAATTTAAGATGAAGAATTCTTTAAAGAACTTAATACAGTCCTAAATACACAATTTCTTTAATCCATTTGTCTAGACAACTCAACTGTTCCACATAGGTCCCAGATTGGGGAATTTTTCCATGTATCTAATCATTCTCCAACTTCTATTCAGGTGTCTCAAATGATAAAAACCCATCTAATTTTTTAATTTATGTCAAAAATTTCAAAAAATTACCACCCTAACCCCAGGTAAAGCGCCGCCAGATATATATATATGAATTTGAACGAATGGTGTTTATGGTCTCTGAAGACCTCAAAACAAAAAGATTAATCGGTCCCGGGTCAAGGTCCTATCATGAGACATATAATAATATCTTATTCCCTATATGGGAAATTCGCTAAAACCAGAGAAAGTAACACTGAAATTAATACTTTAGTTCTTTTTTTACATGTAGGCTAAGACTAATAGGAAAAGGAAGCAAAATACTAACCTAGGGTCATCTTGTTTTGAGCTGCCTCTGCCATACAGCGGGATCACCTTTTCCTTGGATATTGCAGCTTTGCATACGGGACAGACTTGTCTATTGGGTCTTGTGTCCAGCCACTGGTGAAGACAAGGCCAGCTGAGAAACATCAATTTATGGTTAAATAAACAATACAGTCTCAGATCTTCTGTAATCTATATAATTAATATGCCAGACACAAAATTTGTCCTTTGAACTCCTCCGCCATTCTTAACCGATTTTGACCATAGACGTCTCATTGGAAAGAGCGTGTCATGAAGATTTGCAAACTGACCTTACATTTTTGAAAAAAAGTCCCTTGGGCTCTGCGCCAGTGGCTTTTAAAGTTCCAATGTTATCCTTATGAAGAACATAAATGTTTACATTATGATCAGCTGGATAATTTAATTGCTGTTAATAATTAAGGAAATGCGTCTAACAAAAACAAAATTTTACTGACCAGGTTAAAATTAAATTCTTTGAATTTGGGTTTGCTAACATATTTACAGTGGATAAAAGTGAGAAAGCCTGTAGACAATTTGATATATTATCCAAATAAATAGGCCTACATAGAATTGACAATCTTGACAGTCATTGAATGAACCGATTTGTAAACTATGGAAACATAAAAAGTCATAGAACGCCACAAAGCAGAAGAAATAGAGATAATGTTTTTATAAGAATTTATTATTGTTAGCCTAATAATGAAGAACACCTACAAGATGAAGATTCTAAAAACGATGACGGAGGATGTTAGTCGAAGTGCTAACTCGAATCGACTCGACTAAAAAAACACTAGCCTACTCGCCCATCCCTACATTGAATATTTTAAATCTACTTTGAAAAAGCTTATTTCACAACTAGTTCTGTGTGCCCGATACAAATAATACAAATAATAGTCCATTACAAAAATATCTCTCTTTTTACTTTTAATGGAAGAGTTAAAAGTTTATTTTAATAAGTTACTATTAATGAGTAAAATATACCAAACACCTATCTTGTCCGATAACTTACCCTTCATCCCCCCGAAAATCCCCTTTCCATGGTCAGATAGATTTAAGACTGATTTGCGATCTCGTAAAAATGGTAGTTGGATTACAGGTTTAATCAAAATTCAGTTTGGTTAAGTAAAAGCTAAACATACTATGCGTAACCTAAGTTTGCAATATAAAACCATATAAATTTCATAATCATAAAGTGTTAATACTGTATAGGTACTCTAAAATTAAATGTGAAACACTAATATAGGCCTAACTATAGAAAAAAAATATAGAGTTCTCACAAAAATGAAATAACAAACCTTAGGTTTGCCTATTTGCCATGTGAAGCAACTAATCCAACTGTAGGGCCTATACAAATTTTACTAATCAGCATTTTTTGCAAAGAATTAGTTACGCAATCCTAATTATATGAGCTTAGAAGATATCTTACCAAAACAAATGACCGCACATACTGACAACAGCTTCCTTTGCTGTATCCAAGCATATATTGCACTCAAACATTCGCTCATCCTTTTCTTTATCCTCATTAGAATCCTTTCTCTCCCTTGAGGAAGAGCCTGAAGTAGTTGCCTCTGCTTCAATTACCATTTTTGACCCCTGAAACAAGTGAGTGTCAAGTATATTTTTGTGGAAATAGTTACTTTTAAAATACACCAGCCGCAACAAACCTGCAGACTAAGCGAAATTCCATTTGCCTGATTATATTTTCACCTGAACCAACATTGTCTCTTTTGCATAGCCTCTACTGACCCCGTTGCAAGGCACGGGTAGGCTATAGTGGCGAGTTTGATTATAAAACAGAGTTTTAAGAGTTAACTTTATTTTCTCTTTACTTTTTAAAATTATTTAATCAACTGTAATGTCTTTAACACACAACTTTCAACAAAAAAAATTCCCCGGGAAATCGGAAATACGGACAATCATTTTTGAAATCTGAGTGAAATTACGACCATTTTGAACAAAAAAATTTAATTTTGTAATATAAATAAATTATATAGGAGGATTTTAGGAGGTCGATATAATTAGGCCTACCTTAATTTTAAGCAAGTTATTTACCGCTAAAATATTAAATTTTTTTTGTAGCAGCGAGTGTTTTGTGCTTATGTTCAGCCCTATTTTGGTTTTTGAAGAGATAAGTTACCGTATTGAGTTTTTTTTTTATTTCTTAAGGTGGTAAGTTAGGTAACTTAGGCCTATTGAAAACTGTAGCAATTTTGCCTTACACATCCATTAGGAGGGTCTTAACCCTTCCCGGACGGGTGACGAATACATCCGCTTAAGTCTTTGGCGATACCGTAATAATAAAGGACGGGTGGCGGATATATCCGCTTATGGTTTTTTATGATAACCGCCTTCTCTTCAGACAGACTGGCAGGTGCTTTGGGCAGTAACCAGATGTTTCACGGTACCAAGGTGCCACTTTCCTGCTCTCTCCATGGCTGCGCTCTCTCCCAAACTCCCCCCTCTCACGCGCGTCTCCCCCTCTCCCGCGCACCACCCACCTCTCCTACGCTCCCCCCTCAACATTTCGTGCTCAATACTACGTTGTCTTTATTTATTGTTTACATACTTATTGTTCTTTATTTAACTTATTGCCTAACGTTGTCATGGCCATATCTTCAAAGACGGGTGGCTGATACATCCGCTGCTTTTCTACTCATCCGTGGACGGGTAGGCAATATACCGGTATCCGCATAGTTAAAAACGAGTAAAAAATTATTTTGACAGTATTTATGAAGTGTTCCATTGTGTTTATTTTACTTAGCCTACTTGTATAACAAAACACAAATAAGAAAAATTAATTTTTTCCTGTTCTATGTCACGATTTTGCCCGTCCAGGAAGGGTTTAAAATATTCACCAGTTGGTCAACCTAAGTTCTGGGCCAAGGTTGGACTAACTTAGGCTAGTCAGTCTTGGTGGGTTAGGATAATCCACTTTCAAAGTGAGCCATGTTTATAATGGGAATACATTATGAAAGTATACTTTATCACAGTTCTTAACACCTACATAGGGAAAATATAGGATAAATTGAAATACCTAGGCTAAAGTTATGCAGTGTGTTATTTAAGTTTCTGGATGGTGTAAGTACTGCTACAAATTCTAGACTAAAGAGGCAAAGCAAAGCAAAATCAACTTACCTTCAAGTTATTTATTTCTCAAGACGCTTGCAAAAATTATAACTAAATCACGTTACGTTATCAACTCATCACTGTGATATTTGATTAAATAGCCAAGTCAATGCCATCATACTACTGACAAATTTTACAGGCAGGGCATTTATTTACTTGATTACTTACTTCTTCTTAACTAACTTATCATCAACACAAACACCACAACAGTAACAGACATGTTGATAGCAAGAGGAAGAGGAAGGGAGTAGTCCTAAGGAGGGTGGGCAGATTTTCCCATCCTTGTTAGTCAGTCGTGACGTCATCGTTGATGCGATGCAGTTATCGTACTGGTATCGCATAGCTCCACAAGTCAATAGTCGATATCGAATACCCCTAATTTACTTTACTTGAGAATCGCTGAAACGAAACGCTTCCATCTTCTTCCTCGAATCTTGCTTGGTTAGGTTCAAGACTCTAGGAGCGGAATTCATGAACGTTCCTTAACCTATTCCTTGTTCCTTATTCCTTACCTTTCTCCTTACTGGTATTCAGGAACGTTCCTACTTCCGTTCCTTATTCAAGGCCTCCTTGATTGAAGGAATTCCTTAAGTATTGTTGCTTGTTCAAATTCACAAACGCTCCTAACTCCTTTAACGAATAAATTTTCCTTAATTGATGATTCCTTACTCCTTAGAATAATAAGGAAGGTATGAACGTCCCTATAACCTTACAAATTTGTGATTTGTAGGTTATGTTTGTTTATTTTGATTAAACAGCATTGACACTTTTCCCGTTGACCCGGCGTATTTTGAGTAGATCGGTTAGTTAAATTATTTGTTGATACTTGTGTTATTTTATTTATTTATTTATTATACAAATTATTTATATTCTTTATACACACGTCGATTCTACAATGGATGAAAATATTTTAGAAGATGATTTTATTGAATTCATGGACCACATTGACGATGACCTTTTTGAAAATCGGGCACATAGGCCAAACGATCACATCCCTACGAATCCTTTTGAAGTGTATGATGACAATGAATTTATAAATAGGTTTAGATTTACAAAACAGGTCGTTAGGGAGAAAATTATTCCCCTAATTTATGGAAATAGGCAGAACGCTACAAACAGGGGATTGCCTATTTCTCCAGAAATAAAAGTCGCCACTGCATTAAGATTTTATGCCACTGGTAGCTATCAGGTAAGCCATTATAAGTTTATTAGCCTACATTTTAACAATTTTATCATAACTAGGCTTGAATGTTAAATTTGAGGTAAATGAGTTTATGCTAGGTTTACTAATTTAAGTTTTAATTCACTGGTTTTTAATAGGCCTAATAGTTTTGGAATTATATAGTTATCTAAAGAAATTTCTCTAGTTACTTAGGCTAACTTAAAGCATCCTAGCCCTACCTATTTACCGGTACCATATATGTAATGCTCTCAAAGGTCTATTAGGTCTACATTTATGCATTTTAATATTATTATAGCCTATATTAAGCTAATCGTGTCATTTAAATGCATGACAATAAAATGTGAGCTACACAAATTAACTAATGATACTAAATCTATGTTAGACTATTCAATACATTCAGTATGCTAAGTCACGTCAATATTGACGTTAAAAATGATAAAATATCTTTTTTTAAATGGCAAAAACAAAATAGTCCATGCATAGGTAGGAATTCATGTTGAAGAATACCATTCTCATTGTGTAACATGCTACAAGTATTATGTAGGCTAGCATACATGTTACTTGAATTCTATTATAGCAGATAGGCGTGTATATATCAATGCTTTCTTTAACTCATGCCTATATTTTATGTAACCAACAGCCAGCCACAACCTGGAATTTTTGCCATTTTTTCATAGCGTGAAAAAGGACATTTAGCATATAGCCTTCTTAAGCGTAAAAATAAATATATCAAAGTAATGTAACTTATGTAGTAACATAAGTTATTAATATGATAAAATATTTCACACCTTTAAAGATTGTCATATGTTAACATTTTTCCAGACTGTTTGCGGAGATCTTGTTAACATAAGCCAGCCAACTGTTAGTAGAATAGTTCAAGAGGTGTCAGAACTTTTGGCTAGAAATATCCCCAGACTGGTGCATTTCCCAAGAAATGAGGCTCAGGAAAATCTGGTCAAAGCTGATTTTTTAGGAATAGCTGGATTTCCAAATGTACTGGGTTGTGTTGATGGAACTCAGATTCCAATTATAAGTCCAGGTGGCCAGAATGCAGAGGTATATAGAAATAGAAAAGGATTCATGTCCATCAATGTGCAACTCGTCGCTGGCCCGCAGCTGCAGATCTTTGATGCAGTGATTCGCTGGCCTGGGTCAACACATGACTCGAGGATATTCAGCAACAGCAGCCTTAGGTATAGCATTTTAATTACCGGTATTCACAATATTAATAGCATTTTTTTACAGTTACCAACAAACTGTCAGATAAGATTAATAGTTTTTACTTTTTATGCGTTATGTAAGTCATAAGTAAGTATTTAAAATAAGTAACCCGCTTCTAAATCAAAGCTTAAGTAGAAAGTTTTGTAGTATCTCAGTAAGAGTACCTATCTCAAAAGTAAGAGATTCCGACATATTGTACAACTCCTACCTCTCCTATAATTTTGTGAATCCTTTTCCTCCCTGTTTTAACAATAGATCAATTAGTGGTCGTAGGCATAATACCCCCTTAACCGCTATATACAAAAATAATAATATGGAGGATATTTATGAATATTTGTTAGTAATCTGGAAACGATTATTTTGTATTAATCTGCAGGTTTCTTCGTGCCCTTTTGATTCAATTAAGCTAATAAAACAGAAGAAATCACAGACTGTCAGTTTTGTTTAATTATATTTGTATTGTACTGAAATTTACACACTAATCTAGAAAATTAATATCCTGCTTCTTCATTTAGGTGGCGTTTTGAAAATCCCCGGGGCGACCTGAAGAACTCCTTTCTTCTAGGGGACAGTGGTTATGCCCAAACAAAATACATGTACACTCCTGTTTTGGACCCTCAAACTGCTGCTGAACAAAGATACAACAGGTCAATAGATCCACAATTTTACTTTTTAATGTCAAGTACTTTTTACACTCATTATTGATGATTGTAAAGTAAAAATATGCCACTTAGAACATACTTGTTGTCTGGAGGCCAATATATTAAAAACTTTTACTATAATAAACCAAACTACTAAACATGATGAAATATTATACTTTTTACTACCAAATCTACTGATGTGAAAGTAGTTATGTTGGATTAAACTAGTAGATATAATGTGTGGCTTTTGCTAAACTGGTAAGTACCAAGATTGTTGTATATAATGCTAGCTTTAAGTTATCTCATTGTAATTATCTAAAGAATAAATTGATTTGATTTCAGGGCTCAAATTTCTACTAGAAATACAGTAGAAAGAACCATTGGGGTACTTAAGAGGCGCTTTCCATGTATGTTATACGAGTTGAGGAACAAGCTTGAGACAACAACAAGAATCATAGCTGCCTGCATTGTGCTCCACAACATTGGGAGGCAGTGGGACCCAAGGGATTTTGGGAACGAAGATGTACAACTGATTCCCAACAACTGGCAAAATTTTGTTGTTGATGTCGAAGAAAGAGTTCGGGATAATGAGAGAGGCCGTTTAATTAAAGAGCTGTTCATCCACCGCCATTTCTCAAACAGGCGCAATGAGGAGTAATAGACATTGACTCCAGAACAGTCCTTTTTGTCAACATTTTGTAAAATACATGATTTTGTTATCATCCTTTAATTAATATACTATTTATTACCTTATATGTTTATCTGTATTTCCTCGGTAAACAATTTAATTGAAATTATCAATTATCTGGTGATCAATCACCATATATGATTGCCATATCAGTTATTGTAAGTAAATGATCAAACTAAACCCTTAAAGGAAAAGTTGTAAAGCTGTAAAAGAGGTCATTTTATAAAAAAATGTCTTTTGTATAGTAATCTCTTACGTTTGATTCTTCCAGGTTTAAAGTTGTCCATAATGGTTCAAAGTTTACCATATCCTTGAATTATAATAATATTATAATATAGAATACAATTGTATTATGGATCTGTTCATGTGTTATGTCTTAACAACCACCATTGAAATATATGGTTTCATTGAACCAATTAAGTTAGGAAACTACATGCAGTTTTTAATGAGGTTTAACAAACATCCAAAAAATAACAGTTTATTATTTTATAATAAAAAATAGTATTGTATTTACAAATATTAAAGTACTAAATTCAGAACTTTTTCAGATAAAGAAAAGTTGTTTTTGGTACATCAAATAAATAAGTACAGCAGGGTGATTGAGTCGAAAGAAACTAATGGGCCAAAAAGTTAAGAGAAACGGATAACTAGCCAAGCTATTACAAACATGAGACAACTACTGTACCATGAGGAAAAAGGCATTTAAAAATACTAATAGTATCTCAAATAACTGGGGATTACAAGTTCAATGTTCACATGCACATTTTAATTTAATTTTTAAAATTTCCTCTTCATATTGTTTTTTCATTCTTGCAGCCTCAGTTTCAATTTTTGCTGTTTCCAATATCTGTTGCTGTATCTTTAATTTTGTTCTGGCCTCCTCTAATCTTATTTGGTGCAACTCCTCTTCATGCTCTGCCATCTTACTCAACTTCTTTACCCTCTCCTCCAGCTCGATGTTGATTGCAGCCTGCCTGGCAGTTCCGAGCAGCTTGCGTTTTTTCCCACATATTCCATCATTCCCTAAAAATATTAATGAGACAAAAATTATGATTATTACTTTCACATATTTTCTTTCAATAAATGTAAGGAAGTATTATTTGGATATGTAGTCAATTTCTGAAAAGAAATGCTGTTCTTGATGACCTAATGATTTTAACAGACTTTAGGATTGTTAATTGTTTGATAGGAATAAGAGAGATCACAATGTTAATATTCCCGGAACTCTAAAAACTCTTGCTGCCTGACTTAAGAAAAATATTAGTACCAATTTCATCTTAGACTTAAAATTTTCATCACTGTAGTTGTGTAAATGTTTCTGAGCTTCAAAGATATCTCTATTTACTTATTCACCAACAAATTTCATAAATCTTTCATAACTAATAATATTTATACATTGATATTTGGTGCTACTGAAAAATTAAACAAATAATGTTTGCCTACTTCTTTCATTTTCTTTAGTTAGTGTTCTTTGATCGTGGGTTGAACAAGCAGGTGTCATTGTCAACTGTGGGGGTGTAGACCTAATTGAAATTTCTGGTACAGCAGAACTTTCCCCATCTTGGCTCACTTCGATGAAGGTCATATTGAAAAATTCTGCAACAAATAATTAACAAATAGTCTCATAGTAGCTTTTGTAAGGAGGCTTTATGTAAAAAAAATACCATATATATATGGTATGGCTTTTAGTCTCATAGTATTATTGAAAATGTTTTAAGTGGTTGATAAAGTTCTCAGAATAGGCCATGCACCAACACACTGATTTACCAGCTTGCAATCATAGTTTTGGTAGGATGCAGTCATTCCCTAGGTACTGAACAACAAGACAAACATTTGCTAAAAACTTCAGAATGAGATCTTTGCTATGTACAGTACTCACTTTTCATTCCTGGATATTACCCTTCCTTTTGTTCGCAAATGTTACCTTCAGTTAGTGTTTCCTTGTTTAATATAGGTACAATTTACATAAAGAAATATTTTTTATGTCCCATGTCCATAGTTATTTGTAGAAAATATTAATAAGGCATTAGGCATATGGATATTATCACCAATGCATGTTCTCTGACTTTTGAAAAGTTACTCAGCATTATGGAGTAAAAATGGCTAGAGTATAAACAAAGTCCCCAAGAATGTATTAAAACTTACCTTCAATTTAAAATTTGTAGCATTATTTTATAATAGTATGAGAAGTTTTGTTTAAGTAGGCCTATATCAATAAGAAAGGGGCATTAAACACTGAAGCGCTATTAAATCATACCTTGTTCTTTGGTTGACTCCAACATGGAGGTGTCACTGTCATACACATTTGGGATGTCAATGGCAGTTGAATTTTGAAGGATGGCATCGATTTCTTGGTCATCTTCAAATTTTGTAGGAGGACCCCCACCTGTTCCCATTTTGGCCTGCCTTTCCTTTGCCAACTTCTTCTTCCTGCTGGTCTTTATATTGTCCCAACATTTCTGCAACTGCTGTATAGTCTTCTGTGAAACCCAATAATGTAATTAAAATCTCTATAGCATAGAACTCTAAATTACAGTATTTTTTAAATGTAAAGCTAACTAAAGCACACAGCTTATTGGCCCAAAGCAATTAGTTTATCTCTACATAATCATCATATAAGATTTACACTAGAACATAATCTTCAAACATTAGACTATTTATCCACACTGTTTTATGATATTCACACTGTTAAGTCTGATATCCACACTGTTAAATGGTATTCAACATAATATGTATGTTGTTAGCTTAAGCTATTTACATGAATTAAATAAATTTCCAATTATTGAACTGAACTGGTGATTGAGATTTTGCACTTATTCTTATATTAACCCTGATGTTTAGATTTCAGCCAAATGACCTAAAACATCAAATGTAGCCTAATCATAATCATCTCACCTTCTGTCACAAATAATTGGATATTGAAGAATTATTTAACCGTGTTTTTGTCATAAAGGGAGTTATTATTTAGAAGTAAAACTTAATGTTATCCACACTTTATTCTTATAAAATCTAAGCCTAAAAAGGTAGCAACCATTGGTACAGAAAATGCAAAATATGTTAGCTAACTTAACGCATTATTTAAAAAAAAATTTGTTTCAATTTGTATAGTTTGTATAGGGTGTTGTTATGGTAGGCCTTTTACAATCAATGTTGTTTTTGTGTTGTATGGTTGCCATCTATTTGTTAAGCATAATGTAAAATAAAAGACCATTTCAGTGAAAAGTATTTAAGTACTTAGCCTACGATAACGTTTTTGGGTGTAGGCCTAACTAGCCTATAGCTTACTTTTTTAATTGTTAAACTTAATTAACTGGTGAACCTCTCTTCACACTTTCTTAAATATTCCAATTTCCCACTTAATTGATAGATAGGCCTAAGAATATGGGATTAATAAATGATTTAAATGGGTTTGAATCTGTTGGAACTGTTGCAGTCAGTCGAATTTCATTATTATTTGGTAAAAGTTCGACCGAGCAAAAAAACTTTTGGGCTATGAGGTTTTACATTACGAGACCAACAGCTTCTCTAATTCTTAATGGCTTTTGTTACGAGCGCTGGTAGCGAGCGGCCGCGGTCTAGTGGCCAAGTGATCCGCCTTCAGTGCTGGAGCCCCGGGTTCAAATCCCGTTCGGGCAGTTTACTTTTTGATGCGGATTTTTCCACTTTTTATTTTTTTTTACTTTTTAAATGCATAGTTCATTAGGTTTCAATGTTAAAACATCTTATATTCTTTTTTGATTTATTAAAATAGTTTTCTTTGAGTTATAAGTTTAACTTAACCCAGATCTAGCTTGATCTGGTTTTTATGTTCCAAAATCAGATCTGGAACATAAGAGATAGGCCTAACTAAGCCATTTTTATTATGACTGCTGTTACACAATATGCTGTAAACTTACCACATTTTTAACTTAGTTGAGTAACATTTTATTATAGGTCTATTGCATAAGGCCAAACATGAGCGTAGGCCTGCTGCATTTTATATATTTAGTATCCTAGCCTAGGCTAATACTAAATTCTTTCTGTTTGGTTTGATGTAGCGTAAGTTTATTATGTTCACCAATTAAATGAGTATTTCTATAGGCCTACTTTTCAATACTGTAACCTGCATTAATTGTAAGAACTATAATTACATTAGTACCGTTTGCATTGATAATTATATTGATTAAAAACTTAAATAATAGGCCTATACTTAATTAGAACCTACCTCAGTGTGGTCTGGCTCTGCGTTGAACTCCTGTTGGATAGCCTGCCAAATCTTCCGCTTCTCTTGAATTTTTGGCCCATTACTTTCTTTCGACTCAATCACCCTGCTGTACTTATTTATTTGATGAACCAAAAACAACTTTTCTTTATCCGAAAATCTCTTTCTATCATTAGAAATAGTGAAACCTTCCATTATCACTTCCTAACTTTTCAAGCGTTTGAACTCAATCCAACAATGAACCAACGGCTAAATTCATTAACGAAAACCGCGAAATGTAATACCAACTGTTGAGGATTCTCACTCCCTTTTATAACATTACATATTTCTTAGTTTCGCCGATTTATAACAATTAATCAAAAGAATAATAAAGGTGATTGTACTTATCAAGCAATAAACATTAAAATATAATGATTTTTTAGTAATTTTTAAATTTTGATCATTAGCTTTATGTATGATATTGTGTAATTTTACTCTGTAAAAGTACCACCACTGATTAGTCGTGTAAGGGATCCTTAAACCTATTCCTCGACAAAGGGTGAAAAGAAGGGGTGTTTGTGAATTTCGTTTCGCACCTTATTCCTTACTCCTTATTCCTTGTTCCTTTGTTAAGGTAAGGAACAAGGAATAGGTTAAGGAACGTTCATGAATTCCGCTCTAGATTCTCGTTCTTTGGTTCTTTCTTTGTTTTTGTTTGGTTGGATTGCATGTAATGTCGACAAGCGTAACGAAAGAAAAGTTGTTAATCGTGTTTTCAGATATAACTCACTAGTTTAATTTTTAATTTATACCCGTACTTAACTTACGAGAAGTTGTTTTCTGGATAGGCCTAGGCCTAGTTTAACTTAAATTATACATTTTTATATTTATATGACTTAAGTATTAACTTTAGGCCTAGGCCTATTAGAGGATTTTAAATGGAGGCAACAGAAGATAATAATGATGGTGATCAAGTGGAATCGAAATTACACTTTGTTAATACATACGACCAATTTTCTATTAAAATTGCAAGAAACCGAAGTATCTACGTATAGCAAATTTGTTTGCAGGCGTGCTTGTAAGCAGGATTTTGGCCATAACCTGTATAATACTATAATAGCTTCAAGTTCTTGTTTATCTTTCACTTGGTCACAAGCCAAGTCCAACTTGGTTATAAGCTCCTTATTACCGATAATACAATTAGATTTGCATATGAGCGGTAAATTTAATTTACAGACCGTTCTATAACTTTAGTTTAAAAGCGTTTTCTACTGTGACTATCACAATCATACTTCATATTCATAGATTGTAGAGAAACAACCTAAACCTACATTAATAACAACCTACAACCATAACCATCAACCATGATGTTATGTTTATGTTATTAACGAATTCGACGCGAATAACGATCAAATATCGATAGACGATATTTAGAACTACATCGACTTCCCGAATCGATCGAATCAACGTGACGTCACGACTGACTAACAAGGATGGGAAAATCTGCCCACCCCTAAGGAGGGTGCCTGCCAGAGGGGTCTGACTTAGGGGAGGTACGAATGAGGCATTTAGTTCAAAATTCCTCCGTGAACAGCGCTGTAGTAGAGAGAACTTTGGCAATGAAGGTTTACTAATCGCAAAAATAGTTCTGTTAATAAAATAAAATTATAAATGTCTCAAATTCAATTTTATTATTTTTTAATTATAAAATTAAACTATCATAACCTAACCGAACTAAACAAACTTGCTGATAAAGAAATAATATAACAAAAGTTTAGTAATCGGAAAAATAATTCTGTTTATTAAATAAAACTAGAATTTGCTCAATTAAAATTTTATAATGACTTAATAATAAAATTAAACTGTAATAACCGAACCAAACCAACCAAACTTGCTGATAATAAAAAATCTTGGACAAAAAGTTAATGCTACCAGCGGGATTCGAACTCGGGAGTCGGGACCTACAGTATATCAGCCCGGCACGCTAACCAATAGACCACCGAGGCCGATGGTTACCGATCGTTTTGTTACGGTAATGGCGTTCCCTCAGCTAATAAGAAGCCCACAGCTGTCATCGTAGCCTCTTCTATACCTCCCCTGAGTAAATACCCTGCCAGAGCCAGTACATTATTATGGGTGGGTTCCATCATCGACAACCGTAGCGTAGAAATTGATCGAAACTGAATTATTCCCAGTTTGTCGACACTGGAATATTCCCATTTAACCGACATCCCAAATAACCGACGTTGCAAATGATCGACACCGCAAATTGTCGACATCCCATATTGTCGACAATGAAATAGTTTCACTTTGTCGACACTGAAATAGTCCCAGTATATCGACAAGCTATTCATTAACTATTATAGTTTACTTCTTTCAAACAAGCTATTTTATCGTTCATCAGTATGCCTACATATTTCAAATCAAGTAGACTATGTCTCCCTAATCTAGTGGCGATGAGACTAGATTTACATATAAGCGGTATTGAAGACCATGGTTGTTCTACTGTGACTATCAGATTCATAGAAACGATTATAACGATCAAATATCGATAGAAAATAACGAAATGACTATATTGCAAAACAACAGCGACTTCCCGAATCGATCGAATCTACGATGACGTTACGACCAGCTTACAGCAATGTGAAAATGGGAGGCCTTCTTTTAGGCAACCTTTCACCTAGGTACCAATTCACTTAGATCACATATCAAGTAGGTACCGACAACTCAAATCGGTCAGCAAGGTCCCGGCCCCTCCCTTCTGCGCGAAGGGCGTGGCTTCGCCGTGGTCACGTGTTTCGTGGTGCGGTCGCTTACCCTCTACACTGCTGAAAATTCCCGCGACTTCTTTGAATTACCTCTACTCCACCCAAATTTCAGCCTTCCTTAGTTTCGTTTCTTGTTCTGTTCTGCGTTTCTTCTTCTTCTTCTCTTCTAGATCTGCTCTCTGCTGCTGCTGCTCTTGTCTAGCTCTAGTAAGTTTGAGGTTGGAGGTTCGAGAATTTATTGTTTGTCAATTTCATTCAATTGTCATTATTGTCATACAAATTTGTATTTTAGGTGTGTATTTTCAATTTAGGCCTAAGTTACAACTACTACAGTTTAAAGAACCATTTTTGTCATCACAAAATTGAAAGGTGTAACTTATTGACATGGACATGACATGGTCATTAGAATATTAACTTTTCAAGCAAATTCAAATTAGCTTCTGGTAGCCTATAAAATAAATTAGGGGTACAGTCTCCTGGGGTACAGTTTCTTAACTGTATCGTCTGCGTAGAGTATGGTTCTCAGATTATGGTCACTGAACCATAATCTGAGAACCATACTCTACGCAGACGATACAACAATAGTAATCCCTACAAAGTACCATGAGAACAATAGCAACATAGTCAATTCAACCCTGGACGAGGCTACCTCTATCTGCAAGTCTCTTAAACTCAGCATTAACACCACAAAAACCGTTCACATAAGTTTCAAGCCAAACAACAGTAATAGAGCTGATGAGGACTGGCAAGGATTGAAGATTCCCGTTACCGCATCAACCAAATTCTTGGGAGTTATTATAGACCAAAACTTGAGTTGGCAAGATCACACCGACCATCTCTGCAAAAAATTAGCTACGGCTCACCACGTAATTAGACGCATTAGAGCTATAACTGATGAAAACACTGCAATTCTGGCCTACCACTCACTTTTTTCTTCCCATCTGCGGTATGGAATCGTCGCCTGGGGATCCACCCAGGAGAAGAACACAGACCGCATCTTGGTTCGGCAAAAGAAGACCCTTAGAACAATACTGCGCCTGCAACCCTCGGAGCACTGCAAACCATTTTTTACCCAACACAAAATCCTTACCGTCTATTCCCTCTATATCTATGAAACCATAATCCTGGCCAGACAACAATCCCCAACCCTACGACAAGAGAAACATTCCTATAACACTCGCAACAAACACAATATTGACCTACCTCAGCATAGACTCCAAAAATTTAACAAAACCCCAACCTATTCTGGCTCATTTTTCTACAATCTCTTGCCTCAAGACCTAAAAAATCTACCACCAACACGCACATTCAACATAAAACTTAAACAATACCTTGCTGATAGGCCCTACTATAAAATCTCAGACTTTGTGTCTGACCACACTTTCTCACGTCTCGCCTCGTGAAGAAAGAAGACCCTGCAGTTTGAATTGACGATTCCCCGATCGGCTGATCGTGGAGAAGACGCCGGATGTAAGATGTAAGATGTAACTGGGCTATGCTAATATCGATTGGAACTATCGAATTGGAGATATTGATTAATAATCGATATTTTAAAATATATCTATGATAAAATTAAACTATCATAACCTAACCTAACCAATCAAACTTGCTGATAGTGAAAAAAATCGCATGAAGGTTTACTAATCGAATCGATAGTTTCAATCGATATTAGCATAGCCCAGTTAAGAAACTGTACCCGTTTCCTGGGCTTCGCTAATTTCGATTGAAACTATCAAATTGAAAATATTGATTAATAATCGATATTCAAAATATATCTATTATAAAATCAAACTGCACTTTAGCTTACGTCCTACACTATAATTTGAATAAATATATCGATCGGTAAATAGATTATTTCATTCAATATATCAAGTTAGGTTAGTAAAGTAACCTAACCGAATGAATCGATACATCAAATAGTCTATCTATTAGTTGCATACTACGCTTTTAGTTGGGTTTTTAAACTCATAGCAAATTATGACTAATTAGTTTTAATATAACTTCCGGTACTAGACTATTGATCGATTTCGAGCAACAGGTGCGCTAGTTTTGTTTTATATTTTTATTTTTTATAAGATGCTGACAAAGTATAAAGTTTTTGGTATGACAGTTTTAGTTTACCATTTGAGTTTTTAGCATTTTATAACATAGGCCTATCCTATACGTATTTGATACTCTCAGCAGCTGGAGTAGTGTGATTTTTTCTTTGAATATTGTGGCTTCACGTGACAGGTGGATGGCTATATGTAACTTACACAAGGTTACATGGTACATATTAAATTCATAATGATTTGCCTATTTCGGTAGGCCATGTAACTTAGGTTAGTCTAAACTTAGTTGATACTACTAACAAAATAACTTTGCCATCTTAAAGTCATCAAGTATTTGTTCTAACTTATTGCAGAAAAGCC